CCCCCCCCCCCCCCACGATTAACCTGTTGGTGTGACAACCGGTGTCATGTTGGTCCAACGCAACCAGAGGCTGACACCGCAGCATTAATCATTAAGAGGACGGGTCCATTTGAAGGTGGGATGGAGGGATCTGATTGGTTGTGGGGGAGCAGGACTCCAAAATCACTCATGCTCAATCAAAACGTTTTTTTTATTGTGTATTATGTTTATATTTCAATCCTTAACGAGAAACAAGAACAACAAATATTCATATGGATTTTTTTTTTAATTAATACAAAAATCCAACCTGATAAATACCCTTACACATGTATGTCAGAATTCATGTGTTTTAGTTTTACATTTTGTCTCTCAACTGAGATTATTTTCAGAGCATTTTATTTTTTATTTATTTATATTCTTTTCTGGTGAAATTTTCAGTTGCTTATCATTATTTGAATTGGACTTTATATTTCTGTAATTACAACAAGACTTTGTACTCCTTCATAAAATAATAATAATAATAATAATAATAATAATAACAATAACAATAATTATTATAATAATAATTATTATTGTTCAGATTTGTCCATTTGTTTAAATTAAATATGATATAATTGATAAATTAATTTTTCTTTCTTTTTTTGTTTGTTTCTTTCCTTCTTTCTTTTGTCCTTCATAAAACAAAATTAGGCAACTGATAATAAACAACGGAGCCGTGTAGAACAGGAAAGATATTTAAACATTAATGTTTAAAGACAATCCAGTTACTTAAATTAATTTCATTAATTAATTTAAATAAGTTGTTAATTTAGCAAACAGAGAAAAATACAACAGAGAATAACCAATATTTGTATGCTTAAAACACATTTTTTGTAATAATAATAATACTACTACTAATAATAGCAATTTTATTATTATTATTGTTATTGTTGTTAGTTGACAGGTTCTGGATATTCCTCTCTGCACATATATTTTTCTCAGACAAACCAAAAGGAAATAGTTTATAATGTTTAATCTAAATTTAATTGTTATTTTCCTGATAAGTATTATTCAGCTCATTCTGCTGCGTGCCAACAAATCACACATTATTGGGCCTCAGCGCTGTCAAAAATGCACATAAAAAGTGTAAAAAAACAAACAAAAAAAAAAAAAAAACTAAAGTCTGTGGAGTCTCTGTGAACGTTTCAACACTCAGCTCCACAGTGACCTTGCTCCTTTGGTTGGGGGGAGGGGGTGAAATGGGGGCACCACCTCCATCAGCAGCAGAGGAACAACTGGGACAAACTTCAAGTCACAAGCTCTCGAGGGAAACACTCTGACAAGCTGACTTAATGCAGAGACTGAACTCGGAGCTTTTTTCTTTTCTACACGTGAGAGAATGAAAAAAATAAAAAACCAGGGGGTGAGAGAAAGTGTTGCAAAACAGTGAATATGGTCCGCTCTCCAAATATAGATCTGAGAAATAAAACTGATTTGGCTCTTTTGTGTCTCCTGACAGCCTTTATTTAAATGAGACACCTAAATATCCTCAATATACTCGTTCTTTACACAGAGCTGTTTGACTGCAGGTCAGATCCATCTCTTTTTACTTCTTCTTAAAGGAAATCTAATGGTTAATTTATCTTAGGGAGCTTACAACCAATTTAACAATCAGGTAACAAGAGTTTCATCATGTCTCCTTGTTGGTTACGCTGATAAAAGAAGCAGCTTTTGTGTGTGTGTGTTGATCCTAAGCAAAAAAATGCTGCTTTTACAGGAAGCTGACACAATGAGTAAATATCCACATATTATCCTTTAAACGTTTAAAAGCACCAAGGCCAACAGGGTGAAGAAGCTTTGTCGACTGCGGCGCTGGAAATGTCTTGGAGGACAAATTTGCACCATCAAAAGAAAGGTGACCTGCAAAACATCCTATATATAGTGGACCTGCAGGGGGGAGATTTTCAGCAGCTTGCTGGCAGCATTACACAACAATTATGATGTGCAGTAATTTTCTTTTCCTTTCAGTGTTCTCATCTGCAGGAGCAGAGCTTCACCTGGAACACACACAGTCAGCTTCTGCCGTCCTGCTGCTGAGACAGTGTCAGAGCTCTGTAAATCACAGCGGCCCATCCACGCATAAATCTGCTGCAGCAACAACACACCAACGCCCATTAGGAGGATGGAAGGGAGGGCTGGAGCCGCCCACCCCCCTACTTTACTCGCCATAAAACACAACGAGGGTTCACCTGTACCTGCCAGCCCGCCTTGACGAGGCCAAACCGTCATTAGCCAAACACGAAAGACAAACACGTGTCACAGGATGCAAACAATGAGTGAGTCACTCGAGATGAGCAGAGGCATCAAAAGGATCCAGGGAGACTCTCTGGCGTGCATTGGGGGGGTCATCTCAGTGTCAGTTCAGGAGTTCAAGAATGTTTTCAGGAAGTCTTTTTGTTTCAGATTTAGTACCAAAGTTCAATTAACCTCATGACTCACGAGCAAGGACGAAGCAGAGCCAAACTTTAATTACAGATGAAGCTGAATTGTAAAATGCCGTGAAATATTGTCGCCGTCAGATGAAAAGCTCAGTGACTCATCTTGGTGTGGGAAAACAGCTCCTTTCATCCGGTCTCATCCTGGTTGTGCTTTATGTTTGCAGGAATCTGTATGAATTTATTTATGTGCTCAAAGCAGAGATTTAACACAGATTGGAGGTGGAAAGCAAATTTGAACTAAATGTGCTGTGATCAGCTCAAGAAATCAATATTAAAGACACATATAGTGTAGAGTCAGTCAGATATAAAAAGTAAAATAAAAAAGAAGAAGCAGATTTAATAAGAATTAAAAAAAAAAAAAAAACAGCATGGAGAGGGTTCTATCTGCCAACTGGTGGTTCCCTTGTCCCCGGGCGATCCTGCCACTTTAAGAA